GAAAGATATATGTATATTTTTGTGCATATTTGTCCTAATACCTGCATTTTTGTTTGCAAGTTTGCAGTATGCATAGATCTTGCAAGCTATAATCTGATTGTAATGTTATTTGCATGAATATGTGCATAGTTATGTGCACTTCCCCAATACATTTTTAATACATTTTGTGATTGGAGGACTCCATTGCAAAACTGAGAGGTGGTGAAAATTTCAAAAGATAAATATATTTGAGTGTGCATATTAGTTTTAAAGTGCATAATTAGATCTTTTCACATTAAAATGTGACCTGAATTAATTTCACTCTATTCCTAGTGGATTCAGAGTTCCTGTCATTCATGTTCCCAACCCACTTGCCAAGCCTAGTGACCTATGGCTACCCATCAATATCAATTAGGTTAATTAAGTCATTTGCACATGGAAGTATCAGTCATGGGAAGCAGATCCCTCTCTGAGCATTCTCTGATCCATCTGTTGGAGTCTAGAGGCTGAGTGTGATGAAATCTAGCTGGCCAAGCACTTTCTTCTCTTCTGGCCCCCTTCCTCCTCCTCTCACTCCCAAGGCATATCAAAAAACAGAGACAGCCAAGCTCAGCTAGAATTTAGGAGAAGGTTTGTCATGATGTGGTCAAAAGAAATGATTTCATCACAGTGAGATTATTGCTGAATCAATCCCTTCAGTCTAAACAATGGAAAAATAAGCTAGAAAGCCACTCATTGGTACTGGCTCTATTAGGCAGAACCAGACAACTGCCTCTGACAGCAGATTTGGGGGATTGGCAGCAAATGTATTGAAATAATGATTGCTTTGTTTTTACACTCAAGGAGAAGAGCCGTGGAACTTTCTGCCCCAGGTGTCAAATCATTTGTCTGGCCTTGGGTCCAAACTGTACAAACTGTTTGGAGAGGGAACACCATTTCTGCTCTGCTTCAGGTAGCAAAATATTTTGGAATGATTTTTGGAATGGCCCCAGCAGTCATATGAGTTCAAGTCAAAGCTCCCATCTTTTGGTTCATTTCAAAGCAGGCAAGAAGTGGTTTCAAAATCCTTGCAAACTAGTGCTGGCACTGGTCAGAGGGAACCAAACTGCACATGAAGCTTACACACAAATTAAATGACAGATGGGAATAAAGTCGCTGAAGATTTAGGTGGCCAGAGTAGTTCTTTATACATAATGGAGAGTACTGAAACCCAGGTTCCAAAGGTCAAGCCTCTGGGAGGGTCATTTTGTTTGTGTGCTTTGGTTACTTCAGGAGGGCAGTAACTTTCAATAGCTAATGCCAAGAAGGTCTAGAAGTGCCAGATCTAAACTTGAAGGACAAAAAAAAGAAGTGAGCTCTAGATTTAGATGTATCTTTCCAATAAGAAAGAGAAACAGCTTGCTGATTCATTGCACACACAAAATTTTCCTTTCAGGAGTCATTCTGTACTGCACTCATCCCTCTACATTTGTGGCTTTGATTTTTGCGGATCTGATTATTCACTGATTTTATTAATATGTTCTCTCTAGGAATATCTAGGAGGTCCTCCAGCACAACTCTGTGGTCAATTTTAACCAAAATTTGCATTGAAGGCCCTAGAGATTCCTAGAGAGAACACTCACTAGGCATTTTGTACCTCCTCCAGAGCAATTCTATGGTCAATGTCTGGCAGATGCTGAACACAGAGTTGTACTGGAGGACCTAGGCATTCCTAAAGAGGTGTTCTCTCATGTAAAAACACAGGGGTTTTGTTATTTGTGGTTTTTCCACATTCACAGGGGTCCTGTGCCCCTCTCCCCAGTGAATGTAGAGGAACTAATGTATTGTGTTCACAACAGATTTTGGGGCTCCTTGAATCAAACCAGCAGAGAACTGCGATAAGACAGAAATAGAAGGAAGCTATTCAGCATCTAATGTGCCAGTAATATGTGGCTGGCTAAATTGCAAAATTAAACTGAGATCCAGTGTAATGTAGTAATTTGACCATTGGACTAGGGCTCTGGGGGACCAGGATTCAAATCTCCCCTCCACCTTGGGCAAGTCACACACTCTCAGCCTCAGAGGAAGGCAATGGCAAATCCCTTCTGAACAAATCTTGAACCAAGAACTGGAGGGGGCTTTGGTTATTGCAGAGGGTGGAAGAGAATACCAACCTTTGCAATGACCAAAAAAACAAAACATACACAGGTGTGAGATGGATTACACTTGTGTATGTCACTAGCAGGATGCTGACCTATGGTATATGACATACTGTATTTCATGGGCTGAAAGAACTAGAACAACAGAGGAACCTGGTGTGCTTCTGGCCTCATTTCAAAGTGCTTACATTAACTAGAAAAGTCATAAACTGTTTGGTATCATGGGATCAAGAGGAGGCGTGGGAAATTAGGCAGTCCTTCAGAAGTGCCTGATACATATATTCTTCATGTTGCAGGACCAAATAAAAATTATTTTTTCCTAGTCCTTCCTGATTGAAATCTGTTACTGGGTTTTATACTTGGCTTCTTTGGCCTTAGTTGTGCTTCTTTATTGGATACTTTATTAGATGTTGTTTTGATGGTTTTATAGATGCTTTTATGGATGTTTTGACACAAGCTGCCTTGGAGAGCTGATTGGAAAGGCAAGCTATTAATATATTGAATAAATAAGTTTCCTGGTCATTAATATGTCTGCTCTTTGCTTATCATGTACAGTCACTTTTTATTGTGCTTCAAAAACAAAGTGGGCAGAAAACAGATTTGAATCAGCTGGTAGATCTGTGGGTGATCTGCAGAAGATCAGCAAGGATTTCTGACACTCAATTAATTCTAAAAATTGTTGTGACAAAAAGGACCCACACCCCTGGCAAAATTACACTGCTGAAAAGAAGAAAAAGGTGGATAAGTAGGAATGGGTTTTTGTGTGGAAGGAGGATCATGAACTTAGTCCAGTTCTGGCACTCAAAATATATACCGGGCTCAGAAAATTCTTAAACTCTCTGTGTATGAATTCTGTGCCAGGTTCTAGTGGCAGTGGTGACGAATGCTGGGAATTGCACTACAACAACAGCTAGATTGCTGCATGATTCCATCCCTGATTGAAGGTGCATCTACACTGTAGAAATATAGTTGGTTCTCCTTATACAGAGACTTTTATCCATGGATTCAAGCATCCACAGTTTGAAAATATTCCAAAAATATATAATCTCTAAGAAGCAAACTTTGATTTTGTCTGTTTATTATGCCACTGTATTTAATGGGACTTGAGCATCTATGAATTTTGATATCCATGAGGGTTCTTAGAACCAAACTCCAACAGATACCAAAGGTCCACTGGAATGCTGTTTTCCATGGCTTCAACCTACAAATTCCTACAGATCTGTAGTTTTGTGAGGCACCAGCACTCTTGGGCAGAGAAATCTAAAGACCTTGCAAAACTACAAATCCCAGGATTGTCTAGGATGGAGCAACTGAACTTAAAGTGGTGTCAGACAATATTAACTCTGCAATGTAGATGCACCCTAAGAAAAACAGAATCTTGGTATGGTTTAAATGACAGCGGGTGGTGTGAGAGATCAGGGAGCCAAGCCAGGAAAGCTCTGCTTCTGTTTAAGCCCATGCCAGTCAGAACATAGCTAGGGAGGGCAAGAGTGGCAGCTGGTGGTTTCTATATCAGTGGCAGTGATGAATCCATTCAGGGCCTTAGTAAGTACTTTAAGGCAGCTGTCCAAGGTAGTGGACCAATTTCAGAGGATAGGAATAATCACCATTTTGTTTAAAATTCAAACTAAAACACATAGCACAAATACCACTTCACTGACATGGGTGGTGTCTGCACTGCAGAAATAATGCAGTTTGATACCACTTTAATTGTCATGGTTCAATGCTATGGAGTCCTGGGATTTGAGTTTGTTGTAGCACCAAAGTTCTCAGATAGAGAAAGCCTAATATCTCACAAAATACAAATCCCAGGATTCCATAACATTGAGCCATGCCAGTTAAAGTGGTGTCAAACTACATTATTTTTGCAGTGCAGATGCAGCTATGGAAACCTTGGCTGCCACAGGTGAGCAACTTGTGTGCCCCCTCCCAAATGTTGTTGGACTCCAACTCATATCATCCCTAACCAGGATAGCCAATGGTGAGGGATGCTGGAAGTTGGAATCCAACATGCAGAGGCCCACAGTTTTCTCATCCCTGGAATGCTAGGCAAGACAGAACAACTGCCAGCTTTGCTCTAACATAACTTGGAATGGGCATAAGATAATAAGAACTGGAGTTTTCAGACTTGATTTTTCTGTGATTTCCCCTTACTGCTGAGTTCCTAGAGGAAAGTTGTCTGCCTGTCTCACGTGCATGTGGTTTTTTTAAAAAATTGCTTCTCAAAGGAACCCATTCTCTCCTCTTTTCCTCTTGACTTTGCATGACTAACAAGGCATGCAGTGATGACTTTGGGGTTACAATGAAAGGCCAGGGAATACTTAATCAAACAGTGGGGCTGACATGACAGCAGGACAGAAGGGAAGGGACGATGCCCCCTCTTTAACAACTCTGAGCTAATGAACCTTTTCTCCTTGCCTAAATGGTCGTAAATACATGCATTCTCTGAAGGATTAGAGCAGGAGGAGGAGAGTCAAGGCAGAACTAGTTAAAAGAAACAGTGCCAATGCACAGGAGGAGGAAAGGAGCATCAGGCCCTGATGAAAAGGAAGGGAGGCAGCCACTAAACCAGATGGGACCAGAAGGTCCTGCCCCCACAGCTGCCCCTCCTTAGCTGTGCCATTGAGATGGAAATAGAGACAAATTGGTGGAGACATTTCCATTGTGGTGGCTGCTTTACAGGCAGGCTGGGCCCACCCATCCTACCACCCACTGCCAGCCTCATCCATCCACCTCCTTGACTATGGCTGCCTGGGTGTGAGCATCACTTGCCACGAATCACAACATTAAGCCCTGGCTAATAAGATGAAATGGACCCATAAATAGATACGGCTAATGAGATGAAATGGCCTTAATAGAGTGCAGCAGGTCCCACCAATGAGAACCAGCATGGTGTAGTGGTTTGAGCATTGGACTATGACTCTGAAGACCAGGGTTTGAATCCCTGCTCAGCCATGGAAACCCACTGGGTGTCCTTGGGCAAGCTACACTCTTACTCTCAGAAGGAGGCAAAGGCAAACTCCATCTGAACAAATCTTGCCAAGAAAACCCTGTGATAGGCTTGACTCAGGGTCACCATAAGTTTGAAACTACTTGAAAGCAACAATAACAACAACAAGGTCCCACCAGCATGCCTGCTGTAGGACCCTGTTTTCTGTATATCTAGTTCTATATCACTAGCTTTGAGACCTGCGAAAATCCAAAACCCTTAAACTCTTTCTTTTTTAAAAAACTGAATGTGAATTCAGATATCCTGTTTACCAGGCAGCATTTTCAAGAACCTTTCACCTATCATTCTCAGAGATTGAGAGAGTGATTGAGAGGAAGAGAATAGTGGCTGTTAGCCTCCATGTAAGCGGGAGATGAATACATTTTGGCTTTCAGCTCAGACTTTAAAGGGGCTATCTAAGGAGCTGAACTCTACCCCAAAATTAGATTCAGCAACATGGATAGCTCCTTTAAAGTCAGGACTGAAAAGCCAGAACAGATTACCATCTCAATGACATGGAAATCAACCACCACCTCTGTATGTATACATGCCAGAGCTTGGAAACAAGGACTAGGATCCTGGTGAGGAGTTAAGAGTGCATAACCACTGTAGTTATGGAGCAATGCAGTGAATCTCTATCAGGAAGCAGCCACAATGATCACTGCAGGTCTGCTCCCATTGCTCAGGAAGCAGCAGACTGCCATTCCCACACCCCTCATGTCTCTGGTGTGAGGGGTAACTGTGACAGGGACCCCATAAAATCAAAGCATTGGAAGATACCCCAAGGGTCATCCAGTCCAACCCCTGCCATGCAGGAAGACACAATCAAAGCACCCCTGAGAGATGGCCATCCAGCCTCTCTTTTAAAACCTGCAAAGAAGGAGACTCCACTACCCTTCAAGGCAGCGTATTCCACTGTCAAACAGCTCTTACTGTCAAGAAGTTCTTCCTAATGTTGAGGTGGAATCTCTTTTTCTGCCTTTCACAACAGAGATCGGAAATTGTTCCTGGTGGAAGCAGGTACATCAGTCAGCTGCTTTCCAATTAACATGGGGACAGACACTAAAGCTTGACTAAAGCTGTTACTGCCCAGTAAGTAGGGCCTGGGGTACTTTCATGCTCCCTACATGTCCTCTAAATTAGGGAATATATAGGGATTGTGAATACCAAACAATTATGAATGCATAACCCTAGACTACACATTTGTAACACTTCAACAATATCCTGGTTGTTAGTTTTTGGACTATAGCTCCCAGAATTTCCCAGCTAGCTACTAGCTATCTTGGCTGTAGGACTCCAGGAGTTGTTGTAGTCCAGAAGAGTAACTCTTTGAAGCTCTGCCTACAATATTCTTAAAAAAATAATTGTTCCCACAAGAATCTCACCCACCACTTATGTGCATCTTTCAAAGTGGGCCCTTTGCACCTTCACAAAATTATTTCCCTCTGACACTATGAGGTGCATGTGCCCAACCCTTGCATTTCCTTGAAGGCCTTGTCCTCACCCACTTCACTTCATCCCACCACAGGATCACATCAGCTGCCTCTCCCAATTACAATCCCATCCCACTTTACAGGCCTCTTCAGGCTTGCTTCATCCTTGCTAGCCCCCTAGAGCCCAATTCTCAGCTCTCTACAATGGGAAGCTAATTAAATTAAGGAAACACCTCCTGCATCCCTCTCAGTCACTAGAGATGAGCATTCTGCTTTACACACTGGAATGGATAAAGCTGTTGCTAGTGCAGGGAAGGCCCTGACAGTACTCACCCCATGTGTATATAATTAGACCACTTGCATATAACCCCCAAAGGAGGATAACTGAGACTACAGAAGAGCATAAAATGTGCAAGAGATAGTTGATAGCTATAGCTAGAAGTTTGAAAGTGACTCCTGTAATTGAAAATAAGGTTTAGACCCTGTATCAAAGAGTCACTGTGAAATTTTACACTCACTGATTTATGCTGGAAAATGCTGTCCAACCTCC